TAAAATGCTCCATTCTGCCCATTCTAGAGGATTCCTCAGGAGTAGATTCTTTTTGCAGTGAGAAAGAGCTTCTTTCCCATTGTGTTTTTCTGAATACAACTCTTCTGTGTTAGAATAACAACACACCCACACAGAGACATATACATTGCTTCTTAGTATATATTATGTATGTATTATTACTTTTTTGAAGAAATATACAGCTATTAAAATAGTGATGAGAATTGTTGGGAGTTAAGCAGAAGACAGATTTGATTCAACATCATCATCATCATCATCATCATCGTCGTAGATACTAGTCTACCTTCTGAATAAGAAACGCTTAAAGTGTTTGGAGCTTTTTAGTTGTGTGATGGGGGGAGGGAATTGTTCCTGGTATAGGGATAGAGGTTTATAAAATTAAGATTGGGAGAGTGTTTCTATTTCCTCTTCTGTCATAATATTAGAACTCATCAAATAAAATTCACTGACAAAATCAAATAATATTTCAGGCTAAAGACAATGGAATTACAATACATAAAATACATGGTGATACCCTACCTAGCAGTTTAGCCTTAACAGGAATTTCAGCACATTTGCAGAGGATAATTCTCATCAGCAGCTGCTAATTCTGATGATTGTTGTTTGTAAAATGAATTTGTAAGAAACACAAAGCACACCCTATCTGATTCAGAAAGACTTACATTAAGATCCCTTTCTCTTATTTCAGCTAAAAAAGATGAAGAGCCTGATCTATCTATGGCAAGCATGGGTAAGTTCAATATTAAAGAAAAAATAAGTAGATAAAGTATGCATAATCATGCCAGTCATAAGTGATGTGAAAGATCAACAAAAAATTATCTTCTTTACTCATTAACATCTTTTGGATAGTCTTATCCATAGAGTCTGACATATTACAGGTAGTCCTCGCTTAATGACTGTTCGTTTAGCAACCATTCAAAGTTACAATGGTACTAAAAAAAATGACTTATGACTGGTGCCCGAAGTTATGACTGTTGCAACGTCCCCCTGGTCATGTGATCGTGATCCAGATGCTTGGCAACCAGCTTGCACTTATGACAGTTGCAACATCCTGGGGTCATGTGATTGTCATTTGCAACCTTCTCAGCCAGCTTCTGGCAAGCAAAATCAATGGGGAAGCATGTGATTCACTAAACGACTGCATGATTTGCTTAACAACCATGTGATTCACTTAACGGTCACTGCAAAAAGGTTGTAAAACTAGGTCTGGACATGTGATGATTCACTTAATGACCACATCGCTTAGCGACCTAAATTCCAGTCCTAATTGCAGTCATTAAGTGAAGACTATCTGTACTGACGGTGATGATATTGTAGCTACTAATTTCTGGCTCCATTCTTCAAAGATCTCCTTTAATATTTCCAATGTTATAAAGTTTCATGTCATTTTGTAAGGGCCAGTATTAACCAACACCAAAAGCAAGCTTGTATTTTTTTCCCCTTCTGTTTAGAATCTTTAGTCCCCTCTAGTGTCCA